CACCACCCTGAAAGCCTACGGCCACACCACCCTGAATGCGCCAGATCTCGTCTGATCTCGGAAAAGACCTGACATTTTAACAAGGGTGTTTAGACTTTTTATATCCACTGTACATAGTTTGTTTGTTTCTCCAGAAGATGTTTATTTATTTAACCCACTTAACAGCTGCCCACCTGCAATGTAATGCAGAAGGGCGGCCACTGTAGGCAAAGCACTATACCTGTACGTCACTGCCTACTTCCGGGTTTCGGGCACGTGCTTGCGCAACCCCTGGCTGACTCCCGTTATGTACAAAATTTGTACACAGTGGGAGTCTGTCAGCAAGTCCAGGCCAATAATTCACAGCTGGGATCTGCTGATTGGCTGCGTACAATCACAGTCCAGAACCCTGTTTGACATTCAATACAGAACTCTGTACAGAGAGGAAACGATTTGTATGTTTCTCATCCATGTAAAGCAGGGGTGAGAAAGAACTTAGAGGTCTATTAGTAAAAGCAGCACACTTTACACACATTACAGATAGGCACATATTTAACCTCTTGATTGCCTAGATGTTAACCCCTTCCCAGCCAGTGTCATTAGTACAGTAATAGTATATAGTATTATCACTGATTCACTGTGTTAGTGTCACTGGTGATGTCAGTTAGTCAGTTCCCCCCAGCATCAGTTAGTGTAAGATTGCCTGCTGCACTATTGCAGTCCCATTATAAGTCGCTGAGTGGTATAAAAATAAAATTATAAACATTCCTGTATATATACCATAGTTTGTAAGCCTATAACTTTCAGGCAAACTAATAAATATACATTTATTGGAATTTTTTTAATCCGACATGTAGCAGAATACATTTCGGACAAAATTTATGGAGAAATTAGATTTTTTTTTTTTTTTTTTATTGGATATGTTTTATAGCAGAAAGTTTTGTTTTGTTACTGTATTGTCTCATGTTCTGTCCCCCCTATAATGTACAGCGCTGAGCAAACCTTTTAGCGCTATATAAATACTGTATAATAATAATAATACTAATAATATAGCAGAAAGTTAAATATATTGTTTCTTTTTTCAAAAGTTTCAGTCATTTTTCATTTTATATCACAAAAAAATAAAAAGCCCAGGGGTGATCAAATACCACCAAAAGAAAACACTATTTGTGTGAAAAAAATTATACAACTTTTGTTTGGGTACAGCGTTGCAGGACTGCACAATTACCAGTTTAAGTAGAGCGGTGCAGTATTACGAAAAATGGCCTGGCCATGAAGAGGGTAAAACCTTCCGGAGCTCAAGTAGTTAAACTGCATAAGCATCCTTAAAAAAGTGGACTTTGTACCAAAAATCTGCATGTGCAGGATTCTTTTTGGTGTTTACAATAATTTTGATGTAATGGCTTACGTACAGTATGGCTAGGTTCACACCTGTGGGGCAGTGCGAGGCAGGATTTGCGAGGGGGGCATGAGAGCCCATTCATTTGAATGGGCTGCCGTGCCCGGGGACACGCATGAAAGAAGCCCCTGCACTATTTTTGAAATCGCAGCCTGAGCGGGAACCGAGGTTCCCAGTATGGTTGCGATTTCTGTGGGTGGTTGCGGTCGCCGGTATTTGTGCGGGTCCCACAGCGGCACCACCCGCAAAGATGTGAACCTAGCCTAAGTCATGAACCAGATTACCATAAAGAACATCCAAGTGCTCTATATTAGTATGAAGAAAAAAACATAAATATAATTTTTTTTTTATTTTTGTGAGTTTTTTTGTATGTGAGTGTACCAAAAATAACCCGCTTTCCTTTTCCTTTATTTTTAAATGTTCTATTGAACAGATGTGAAAATGAAGCCATTTGAAGTGACGATAAAATACTGACTTATGGACAAAAGCAGGCCTTCAAAATTTTGCCCAACTACAGTATATGCCAATGGTACCCTACAAACAATTCAACAACTTTCTGAAACATACAAAATTACGCATAAGGACTTTTTCAAATATCTAAGAATTTGTCACGCATTAAGCAACCTGGAATACCAAGAGGATTCTCTCCTCCGATCTTTGACCAACTTTTATGATAGAACAGTCTCTCACAAACGAGGTATCTCATTCATATATAATATCCTTCTTCAAAATCGTCACCAAGGAAAATTACCAACGATGCATAAATGGGAACGAGACATACGGAATCAATTCCAGATTCAACAATGGCAAACAGCAGGAAACTGGACTAGGAAAGCTACTAGATGCATTAACCATTGGGAATCAGCCCAAAAGATATTACACAGATGGTACATAACTCCACAACATTTGGCAGCACGATCATCCAACCGCTACTCCTCATTATGCTGGAGGAACTGTAACCAACAAGGATCCTTGTACCATATATGGTGGGAATGTCCACAAATTACTCCATTCTAGTCAGATATCTTCACGTTTATAACATCAATTACAAACTCCTCTCCAATTCCTGATCCAGCCCTGGCACTTTTGGGAATAGGAATAGACTCCTGGCCACCACAGTCCAGAACTGTACTAATACATATTTTGATAGCAGAACGATTGAGTATTGCCAGGCTTTGGAAACAAAATACAATGCCATCCATTCACACAGTAACTGAAATCCTGAACAAAAACACAGCCTTTGAAAAAACCTTTGCTCAAATACACAACTCATCTGATAAATTCCGGAAGCACTGGGACTTATGGCTCAAAGATCATGGATGTACCGTTACATAAGCAACTCCAAGATGTATCAATCAAGCACCACTAGATATACAGCTACTCCACTCTATTATTATCATCCTATTATCTCAAAAAAGAAAATATGTAATAATTTAAAATCTCATTCTTTATTCTACTTCTACTTCTCACAACCTTCCTTTCTTCTCTAAACTAATGATTTACTGAATATTTCAAACAAACAATGCATACTCATCGAAAAAAGAAATGACCAAAAAAAAACCAAACCAATAAAAATAGAGACTTTCAACAGGTAAACAGCCCTTCCATGTGAAACAAAATCAATTTCACACCTATTTGATATTTATGTTTGTGAATTGAACTCTGAATGAAGTATAATATCAAACCCATTAAAAATAATTGATAGATTCTAGTGAATTAACCCTAAAATCTTGTAATTCTATGCTTCTTTACCATTTCAGCAAGGAAGTTGGACATTCTATATTACGTTTTGCTGCTTCTGCTGAATAAGCTGTGGTATTTCCAGTTCTGTCAGTCATATTACTTTTCGAATCTTTGCACGGAATGTTTGTCTCATTAATGAAAATAAAGCTCTCAAACACTGAGAGGATCCAGAGGGTAGATGTGGAAGGTGAGGTCAGATTTGAAGAGGTCAGATAAAATCAATTCAAGTAATAAACATGGTATTGATTTGTATGTCTTAAAGAAAAAAAGAAGGTTCTTCAAAATGTATTACAGAATCTAAATAAAACGCAACATATGTCAAAGGATTCCCACTGCAGATGAGAATGACATGCTGCATATTGTACACAAACAGTATATAAATGAGTGTTTGTGTAAATGATTTTTCTAAATATAGCATTTCCATACCTTCTAAACAGAGCAATTTATAAGAGAATACAAAGGCCAGCAAAAGGCAATAAATGTTTACCTACAGGCAGAGGAGTACTTGTAAGATAATATTAAGTAAGTAAATTAAGTATTGATTCTGATTAACTAAGACATTATTATTATTATTATTATTATTATTATTATACAGTATTTATAAAGTGCCAATAGTTCCCTCAGCGCTGTACATTACAGAGGGGGACAGAACATGTGACAGAACAATACCAATACAATGCAAAACATGAGGGGATTGAGGGCCCTGCTCTTTCGAGCTTACAATCTAGGACATGATTTTTCAATGGTACCATATGTAGCACCCTCCTAGATACTGTGAAGCCTCTCCTGAAATCAGTGGAGCTGCTTGTGATTACTTTGGCCTGCTCTGAATTTCACAGGCTGTGGGTTTGACTGCTTCCCCCTGTTTTCTGAATGGTTCTGGAAAGCAATGGACTGGGAGAGTCAAAATTCCAGACTAAATATTAATGTGATCCCAGCCAATCCCTGGAGAGGTGCCCAGATGAAAGCTGGGAGTGAGCATAAATAGTCTGAAGCCTGGAGTAGAGGGCTTCTTGTCTGGGAGAAGAAGATCCCAGCCTGAAGGGCTCCTGCCCCCCCTGGGCAGTCAAGCCATGCTTCTTCATTTGCAGAGCTGGCAGGCCTATTCTGCTGACCTTTGCTGGAGCTTACTGAGGGATTTCCTTTTCGGGATATGGTCCGGGATCCATACTACCTGGGCACATACAGACACTTTTGGACAAGTGTATTGGGGATTTACAAGTTGATTAAATCCTTTCAACGTGGAGGTTTATCTACCTGATGCCCTCACTGTTCTTGTTTTCTGTATTTTTGTGTGGGGATGGTGGCCCTTTTTGTTCTTCCACATTATCTTCCTGTGTCTACATGACTCCTTGAAGGTTCTTTGTTGGGTATTCTGGTCCGTGTTGGCACTCAGTGGTCCATAGGGAGTATCTCTTCTTTTAATGGTTCCGGTAATGTTTATTCATTATTTATGTGGATTATGATATCCGGCCAAAAGAAGATCTAGACTCTTTTGATCTAAACGTGTTGGGGCATCCACCTGGGTATTGTATGAGAATTAGTTTTGAACCTATGATAAACAATATTTTATAGGGCTTGATGTATATTGTATGGTGCCTATATTATTCCGGAACCACATATTTTAGGGTATCACATGTTAACCACACTTTCCTGTCCGGCCGCTGTTTATAAATGGCAGGACGGTGGCACTCCAGGGGCGGGTTGCCATTCCTAAATGGCACCCGCATTTTCAAGCTGTGCGTGTTCCCTGGGAGCACACAGCACCGCGATCCGGTGCCCGCTGTGTCCTCCGGACACAGTGGAACACTGATCGTCAGACGGGACCTCTGTGCGAGGTCCCGATCATGTGATCACTGATTGGCCAATCAGTGATCACATGCAGAGTAGTAAGCAAGATGTCACTTCTGACATCATTGCTTACTACGTGCGAAATTTGTGAATGATCACAGAGGTCACATGGTACAAGGCTATTCACAACAGCCTTGTACCATGTGACAAGCTGTGACAGCTCACACAGTAGTTCTCAATGGCTGCAAGAATGCAGCCAGAGAGAAGGAGAAATGATTGCTTTTGCATCCTTTATGGGTGTAAAAGCAATCAGTGTACAAAAAAAAATTCTTCATCACCCCCCACAAGTAGTACAGTGTCACCATGGTGACACTGTACTGCTAGGGTGACAGTATGTAAAAAAATAATAAATAAATAAATAATACTATAAAAAAATAAAATATAAATGTAAAATAATTTTTTTTTAATTATAATTTTTGGTTATAAACTAATTTGGGTTACTTTTTTTTACTAAAAAGATAACTGAATACATTTTGGCGAAGATTTATGATGAAATATTATTTATTTGCAAAATTTTATAAGCAAACACTTTTTTTTCAAAATGTTTGGACATTTTCATTTATATAGCAAAAAAATAAAAATCCCAGTGGTGAATAAATAGCACAAAATAAAGCTTTATCTGTCTCAAAAAAATGCTAAAACATTCACATGGGTACAGAGTTGCATGACCGCGCAATTGTCATTCAAAGTGTGATATCGCTGAAAGCTGAAAATTGGCCTGGGCAGGAAGGGGGTGAAGGTTTCCGGATAGGAAGTTGTTAATTGCTGTTAACTACGTATTAATAAAATTACATTCTATTAAAGATCTTTAATGTTTGGTTGCTGCTTCCAAGTTTCAAGGGGTATTGCTAGTGTGTTTTGTTACTAGTTTAGGGATATGTCAGCTCCATGCTTTTCCAGGGGTTATTTTTATAGATTTTTGGGGATTTGGTCTGAGGAGTTGACAAGAGAAATGTCTGGTTAATATTGGAAGGAGGCATCCGACTATCCAAATATCCAGACACATTTGCGTATACTATCCCTCTTGCATCAGTGTCAGCTTGTACTAAAAGTGGACATTGTGTCCCTTTGCAGCACAGGCCATCATTTGCTGACTGTGCTAAGAATCTTTAGGAAGAAGATATGTGTCCTCAAGTTACTACTCAATGTTGCTGGAGTATTCCACAGTTACCCTTCACCTATCCAAGTTCAAGTTTTCAATAAAGACCAAAAAAAGGATACCCCTGTGACGATCGTGGCGTCAGACCCCAGCCCTTCTCACCAAACTCGTGACCGAAGGACTAGCCAATCTAAAACTGCGCGCAAGCAGAGATATACCGAAGTTTAAAACACACAAACAGTAAGCTCTTCAGAGGCAGGGGTTTTTAGTTTGCATTAAAGAGCTTTAGAAACAGTTTCAACACTTTTTCAGAAAGTAAGATTTATTACTAAAGTTTTCAAAAGGGTGCAATAACAATATTTACAGAAAAAGATTAGCCAATATATATAAATATATATATATATATATATATATATATTACACAAATAACAGTCCAT